GACCAAACCACACACTAGAAAGTGAAGGGACGACGACGTTTCGGTCCATCCTGAACCATTCTCAAGTCGATTGTGATCTTTTTTCCGAATCACAGACCGAAACGTCGTCGTCCCATCACTTTCTAGTGAAGGGACGACGAAGTTTTGGTCCGTCCTGAACCATTCTCAAGTCGATTGTGATCTTTTTTCCGAATCACGAACCGAAACGTCGTCGTCCCTTCACTTCCTAGTGTGTGATTTGATCAACATACTTCAGCCACGTTATTGTGACTCCCCGTCACTATTAGATCATGATTCTCTATAACCTATTAGCCAGCAAAGCACAAGCACAGGACACTGCGCACTCGCCAAGTGAGGCACAGACACCACCAATATCTTCCAAGAAGATATGAGAAGCTAGTGAAAAAGTGCCATCCATGAATCACTTGTTCCATCTGTCCAGATGACGAAGATCATCACCACACTGGAAACTCACCCACCTGTTGACCAGACCACACACTAGAAATTGAAGGGACGACGACGTTTCGGTCCGTCCTGGACCATTCTCAAGTCGATTCGAGAACGACAATCGACTTGAGAATGGTCCAGGACGGACCGAAACGTCGTCGTCCCTTTAATTTCTAGTGTGTGGTCTGGTCAACATACTTCAGCCACGTTATTGTGACTCATCGCCTGCATATGGTCACCCACCTGCTCCATGCACCTGCGGGGAACAGTGTCGTGGATCAGCAAGCTTCACTAATCTATCCAGCTATATTGTGTCTCTCCACTGTCTTCAAATTTGGAGCTTTCGTTACCTTTATGGAACCTTTCGAAGTGATCCATGTGTTCTGATACCAGATAACTCTTTATAATGGTGTGTAATCTGCCTATTAGGATTCTCACAGGTTCTGATGGTTCTTAAATGACCGTGGTACTGATATATGTCGAGGTACTGGTATGGGTTGAGATACTGGTATATGTCACGAATGTTGCCTAGGATGTCTCCAATGTTACCTCTGTGGGGTTCCTTCTCTTGCACGGAACAACTTGCACTTTATCTCGTACTTTACTTGAATTTAGCTTTTTTGTTGATGCATCGTTGCATGGTCTGGTTTCTGTGCTGGAAACACTCGCTGAGTACGAGTGTCTTTCCTCTGAGTCCTTCACGTGTTGTGCACAGGTAACACTGGTTGTTATAGGGTACAGATGGGAAAGATCATCAAGGCAAATAGGGAGGGGGACCTTCGACAAGCCTCCGGCTTCCTGTCCTCGTCGAGGCCACTCGTGTTAGTGGCTCTCAGGTAAACTCAGGTAAGCGCACACAATATACCTGGTTACCACCGTTGCTGCCCTGTTGATGTCCTATAAACAGTAACAGTCATCTGTTGTGACTGTTTATATACAGCTTGTAACAGGATGCCTCATCTTAATACCTATACCCAATCCAAACTCAAAAATTCAGACCCATTTTCCTAACACGAAATTCGAGAGATTTTATTTTTGTTATGTTTTCCAACCATATTAAACTTTACAGATGATTTCAGTGTAAGTTATCTTTGGGAGACATGATAACTTGCCTGCACCCTACCATACAAGTACCCCATACACACATACCCATCACCAGTACCCCATACACACACATACACCCATCACCATGAAGAGCAATGAGGGGGTCCTGCACCCCCTTCAAGCAGTCACATTTCAAATTACTTCCCTTGGTAAGAATGTTAAGTCTTACAAGAACATTAATACACTGATGGCTCAAGCTAACTAACGACAGATACCCTGCAACAGTTTCTCAACATTGCAGAAACCATATTTGCATACAATCAACAACAGATTAAACAACTGGCTCAACTATATGCTAACAATTGGCTGCCAGTGCGTTAAAGACACAGGTAAGGAGTAATAATCTATGATTCAATGTCTGATCTTTATGCAGTTAATAATCTCTCCTCCAAGACAGATTGCAAGATCAAAACAACAAACATTATTTAATTTTTTTGTTACCCAGAAGAAGAAAACCTTTTGAAATGTTTTTTCACCGATATGGATAACATCTAAAACAAACTTATCTCTATCATGAGTAAACAGATAAAGTACTTAAATCTAAATCTGATTGCAACAAAAATCCATTTGAACTTCATCAATACATTCCCATCACATCCCTGGTGATGATGATTCTCCGCCCCAAGATAGTGAACGAGAAAGTAAGTAATTATCAAAAGAAGGCGCCAAGCCGGGGAAACAATGTATCAATGAATGAGAAAATGATGCTGATTAATTATGTAAATACAATATTAGACGTTTGTGCCAGAAATAAACAAGAGTGTACACAGCCTCGGTCAGCTCTCATACCAAGCATAAACAAGAGTGTACACAGCCTCGGTCAGCTCTCATACCAAGCATAAACAAGAGTGTACACAGCCCCGCTCAGCTCTCATACCAAGCATAAACAAGAGTGTACACAGCCTCGGTCAGCTCTCATACCAAGCATAAACAAGAGTGTACACAGCCCCGCTCAGCTCTCATACCAAGCATAAACAAGAGTGTACACAGCCCCGCTCAGCTCTCATACCAAGCATAAACAAGAGTGTACACAGCCTCGGTCAGCTCTCATACCAAGCATAAACAAGAGTGTACACAGCCTCGGTCAGCTCTCATACCAAGCATAAACAAGAGTGTACACAGCCTCGGTCAGCTCTCATACCAAGCATAAACAAGAGTGTACACAGCCTACACAGCCCCGGTCAGCTCTCATACCAAGCATAAACAAGAGTGTACACAGCCCCGCTCAGCTCTCATACCAAGCATAAACAAGAGTGTACACAGCCTCGGTCAGCTCTCATACCAAGCATAAACAAAGAAAATCGTCTCACCAGAGACCTTGTTCTGGTTCCTATCTGACCTTACCTCGGCGTATCGAGTTCTAAGGAGGAATCACCCACGAAATGGAACTGATAATCCTCCCCTTGCAGCGGCAGCAGCAACAACCAGCATCAGCACAACAGCCAACAGCAGCACCTACCAGCAGTAGAAACAGCAACCACACACACAAACAGCATCATCTGCCTGCTCACCTGGTGAGTGACTAACAAACTCCTCGATATTCCAGACGGAATTATTTCCTATCAAACTTTTGAACCAAACTTTTAGTAATGTAATAACTGACACCGAGTTCAAAACAGTCATTCCAAGCCTAAAAAGCCCTAAGCCTTGGGCTTGTTAACCATCATTCCAGTCCTCCTGTTCCTCCAGAAACGCCTATTACAAGGAAGAGAATTAATAACTAAATGCGTCTCTGATCACGCAGGAATCTTTGGCAATAAAACGATGAACTAATCAGAGAAGTTGACAACATCCCATCGTCCGGTTACAGGGATGTTACCGGATGCAGGTCACCCACCTACAGTGGGTATAGGTGGGTGACAACCACCGCCAGGGGTGACTAACGGATTAACGCAGACCACTACGCTACCCATATGCTCCAAGGGGAGGAGACTCGGGCCAACACGAGTACAAACATTGTGCACGACTAAACCTCTGGCTTACTCAACTCTGTGCATGTGTAACGTATCGGAAATAAAATAGAAAGAAATGAAAAATGAAGTGAGGGCAGGGGTGAGGGATAGAGAGAGAGAGAGAGGGGGGGGGGTGTCAACGGTTGACAGATAGAGTCCCCACCCGGCTTGACAGCCCCGGTCAGGCTGTTGCCTCCTGACAAGCGAGCTAAGTCTCGCTCCTGCTCAATGTCATCTCTTCTGTGTGTTCTTCCTCGAATGTACAGTTCCATGGGTATTTATGGGAATCCGGGAGCTAAGCCCCCGCTATCTTCCAGTAAATTAGCCTCAGGCTCTCTACCTAAGGTCGTAGACAGTGACTTGTTTGACGGTAAGACACCACCAAAGGTCTGCAAGTATCGGCCTAGCAGAAAGCCATGTCAATTCACACGACCTGACCTGGTGCAATTAACACTCTTAGAGGTGTGACTTTATAATTGCTAAGGCCAGACAATCTGGCGCCTTCAAATATCCTGTCTGGCTAAAATACAATACAAAACACCTTTATGGTGTTACAAAACTGTAACAGCTGAGGAACCAACTACCAAATAAGGCTATTAAAGGCGGGTCCAACCAAAGTTCTGGTTTATAAAGATAGTTTAACTAATATAGCAGTATCTCCTCCACCCCCCCCCCCTTTAGTGTACCCCCTTTCCTCCCCCCTCCACAAGGACACCCCCTCACCCCTTTCCTCAGCACCCACACACGCACCCCCACCCCTCACTTACCAGGATATAATATATGGGACATTTACAACCAGATTACGGGCTCACCATAGCCCGTGCTACATGGACATTTCGTTCTGAGTAGCTAGATCTAAAACAACAACATTACAACCAGCGTATCAGACTCACAACTTAGTGAAGAGAAAGGGGAAAAATGATTTTGTCAGAAGCTGTTATGTTAATTATCTTATATTATCATTAGCCGGTTCCCCACTTTTATGGGGGTGGCGGAGGTACGATGGGGGTGAGGTAGTAAGGTTTATAGCTCACTGAGGTTTCAAATGAAACTGAGCTTTGAGTTATTAGTCTATATCAGCTCATCTGGAGACGGATAATTTATAAGACTCGTATATTTTGGATAAGCATATATCTCACACACACACACATACACACACACACACACACACACACACACACACACACGGAGACACAGGTGGAAACTGAGTGCCCAAATGAGCCACAGAGATATTAGAAAGAACTCTTTTAGTGTCAGAGTGGTTGACAAATGGAATGCATTAGGAAGTGATGTGGTGGAGGCTGACTCCATACACAGTTTCAAGTGTAAATATGATAGAGCCCAATAGGCTCAGGAATCTGTACACCTGTTGATAGACGGTTGAGAGGCGGGACCAAAGAGCCAGAGCTCAACCCCCGCAAGCACAATTAGGTGAGTACACACACACACACACACACACACACACACACACACTGTAAGTCACCTAGAGCCACTCACCTGACAGAGAGGAATGTGGACCTCTCCTATAGAGTCGTCCCTAGAGAATCGATCATAGTCGAACACGTGGAGGTGGAGCACCCGACTCTGTAGCTTCTGAATGGGGAACCCTGTGGACGAGAGGCAGTGTGAGTTATCCGGCAGTGAGTGAGGCAGGAGCAGAGGCAGGAGCAGGGGCAGAGGCAGGCAGGAGCAGAGGCAGGGAGGGGCAGAGGCAGGCAGGAGCAGAGGCAGGCAGGGGAAGAGACAGGAAGGCAAGAGAAAAGGGAAGAAGAGATCTAAAACATAAAAGGTAGGTAAGAGAAAGGGAGGTTTGAGGACGGTTTAAAGTGAGGAGGGAATGGATAAAATGAGAGTGATAGAGTGTAGGTAATGGGAGGTGGGGGGGGATATGAGAGAGGGTGTGAGGGGTGAGGGAGGTGTGAGGGAGGAAATAAGGATGTAGAGGCACAAGCGAGGAAACAAAAATATTACTGGATTACGAAATACAGAGCAATAACGCGTATTTACGCACGCAATCAGGCATTCCGAACACACACCCACACACGCCCCAACACACCCACACACGTCCCCACACACCCACACACGCCCCCCACACACCCACACACGCCCCCCACACACGCCCCCACACACCCACACACGCCCCCACACATCCACACACGCCCCCCACACACCCACACACGCCCCCCACACACCCACACACGCCCCCCACACACCCACACACGCCCCCCACACACCCACACACGCCCCCCACACACCCACACACGCCCCCAACACACCCACACACGCCCCCAACACACCCACACACACCCCCACACACCCACACACACACCCCACACACCCCAACACACCCACACACGCTCCCCACACACCCACACACGCCCCCAACACACCCACACACGCCCCCACACACCCACACACGCCCCTCACACACGCCCCCCACACACCCACACACGCCCCCACACACCCACACACGCCCCCACACACCCACACACGCCCCCACACACACGCCCCCCACACACCCACACACGCCCCCAACACACCCACACACGCCCCCACACACCCACACACGCCCCTCACACACGCCCCCCACACACCCACACACGCCCCCACACACCCACACACGCCCCCCACACACCCACACACGCCACCCACAGACGTCCACACTTACCTTCGAAGTAGAAAGTCTCGTGCCACTTCGGATGCAGCGTCCGGCGTTTGATCTTGGTCTCAAGCTTGTGTTTCTTGTCAGGTAGCAAGGTGACGCGCACGTAAGGGTCGCTCGTCCCGCTCAGGTCCTTCGCTGGCAGCTCCTTCGCCTGCTCGAGGGAGGAGGCTGAATCAGGTGTGGGAGTAGACGTTGTGGGGGAGTGGGGGGGGGGGGTTGTTTGGGAGTGGAGGGGTTGTGGGGGAGTGGGGGGTTGTGGGGGAGTGGAGGGGGGTTGTGGGGGAGTGGGGGGGGGTTGTGGGGGAGTGGAGGGGGGTTGTGGGGGAGTGGGGGGAGGGTTGTGGGGGGGTTGTGGGGGAGTGGAGGGGGTTGTGGGGGAGTGGAGGGGGTTGTGGGGGAGTGGAGGGGGGTTGTGGGGGAGTGGAGGGGGGTTGTGGGGGAGTGGGGGGGGGGGTTGTGGGGGAGTGGAGGGGGGTTGTGGGGGAGTGGGGGGAGGGTTGTGGGGGGGTTGTGGGGGAGTGGAGGGGGTTGTGGGGGAGTGGAGGGGGGTTGTGGGGGAGTGGAGGGGGGGTTGTGGGGGAGTGGGGGGGTTGTGGGGGAGTGGGGGGGTTGTGGGGGAGTGGGGGGGTTGTGGGGGAGTGGAGGGGGGTTGTGGGGGAGTGGAGGGGGGGTTGTGGGGGAGTGGGGGGCAGTATTGTTGGAGTGTAGGAGCTGGTTATTGTTCTCTGAATTGCAGAATATAATTGTGAAGAAATTTTAAACAACGATTAGTAGTAAATGTTTAAGAAAATAGAGTGATCAAAGAAAGAAAGAAAGAAAGAAAGAGAGAGAGAGAGAGAGAGAGAGAGAGAGAGAGAGAGAGAGAGAGAGAGAGAGAGAGAGAGAGAGAGAGAGAGAGAGAGAGACAGACAGAGAGACAGACAGAGAGACAGGTAGAGAGAGAGAGAGGGGTACAGGAAGCAAGGGAACAGATGTACAGACTCCTGCAGAAGTTTAAGAAAGAAAGGGAAGGTTCGCCAGCAGGCTGGGAGGCAATTTGAAACTTCTCAATAAGTTCGGAAAACAAAAGAGGCGCGAGGGGGGAACTTAAAAACGATCAAGTAAAACAAAAAATGACGAGTTCTTGGATGTCTGAAAGCCACAATCGCTGACGAGAAGTTTCTATTAAGAAAATTACTCCCATTGCAACTTCTCCCATGTTGACTATGGGAGAGGATCCAAACTTTCTGAAAAAAAACTAAATTCGAGAAGTGTTCAAAAACTATAAAAATCGGTGTTCAGGAGGTCCTCTACATGTTAATTTCTAAACCTAAAAGGTTCATATGCCTGAAACTGGAAGATCAAGATAATTTTGACTCTGAAATTTTGGGTTTGACTTTTAACCCCCCCAAAAAAATCGCATATAAAACGATTATTAAATTCGCATCGGGTACAAGAATGTAATAATTCACACAGTATTTGGGTCAGATACTGTAACACTCAGATACTGTGACACTCAGATACTGTGACACTCAGATACTGTGACACTCAGATACTGTGATACTTAGATACTGTGCCCCTCAGATACTGTGACACTCAGATACTGTGCCCCTCAGATACTGTGCCCCTCAGATACTGTGACACTCAGATACTGTAACACTCAGATACTGTGACACTCAGATACTGTGCCCCTCAGATACTGTGACACTCAGATACTGTGCCCCTCAGATACTGTGACACTCAGATACTGTGACACTCAGATACTGTAACACTCAGATACTGTGACACTCAGATACTGTGCCCCTCAGATACTGTGCCCCTCAGATACTGTGACACTCAGATACTGTGACACTCAGATACTGTGACACTCAGATACTGTGATACTTAGATACTGTGCCCCTCAGATACTGTGACACTCAGATACTGTGACACTCAGATACTGTAACACTCAGATACTGTGACACTCAGATACTGTGCCCCTCAGATACTGTGCCCCTCAGATACTGTGACACTCAGATACTGTAACACTCAGATACTGTGACACTCAGATACTGTGCCCCTCAGATACTGTGACACTCAGATACTGTGCCCCTCAGATACTGTGACACTCAGATACTGTGACACTCAGATACTGTAACACTCAGATACTGTGACACTCAGATACTGTGCCCCTCAGATACTGTGACACTCAGATACTGTGACACTCAGATACTGTGCCCAGGTCCACCTCAAACCCGGGGCCAGGCGTGACTTGTGATAACTTGGTCCACCAGGCTGTTGCTTGAAGCGACCCGCAGGCCCCACATATCCACTACAGCCAGGTTCTAGAGGCGCATATCTGAACTGTGATGCATCCGACTGATATCAAAAAATGTTATCTGAAAGAAAAGTGTTGCCATTTGTTTTCACAGCCTATATAGGGGCGACCTTTTAAAGGGTAAGGCGTGTGACCTTATCACAAGAAGTGGCCATTAGAGACTATACCCATAGTCATAGCGAAGAACTTGACAGCAAACACACAGAGAGAGAACATAGGCTGAACTGATGAAGTTATTGATGAGGGAATATCACATATTTAAAATATAGCAGAAGGTCACTCTGTGTCCGGTATATGGTCTGATACCGGGATAAGTCGGTGTGTTCGGTATATTCTGATACCGTAGAAAGGAAACTAATCCAAACTTTGCATGATCTTCCCAGTTGCCTCGAAGGAAATCAACAGCCTAATGGAATTGTCTTTGAACTATTTAATATCCTCTGGAGATACTGAGTGTGTCTGGAGATACTGAGAGTGTCTACAGATACTGAGAGTGTCTGTGGAGATACTGAGTGTGTCTAGAGATACTGAGAGTGTCTGTGGAGATACTGAGAGAGTCTGTGGGATAGTCTGAGACAGCCTGAGCAGTCCACTACCAGCCTGAACACAAATAAAAACTATAGGCTTCTAAAAAGGGTTTCAAAAAGTACCACCAAACAGAGGAGTGAATCAGACACTCTGAGTGGCCCCTCTGCCTTCACACACACACACCCTGAATAGTCTCGCCTGAATAGTCATTCCCTAAGGGAAAACTCCATTAAATAGACACAGAGGTAATGACTTTTTTGATTTGCATAAAAAAATGGGTGTCGCCCTCTCATTTTGGTTCCAATATTCAACCGGTCCTCTTGGAGGAGAGGGAGGGGGCCAGGGGATAGGGATTTTTGTAGGGGGGTTATGGGAGTCTGGGGGGGGGCAGACTCCCATGGGTAGGTGGGGGCGGGGAACGACGATCCCCCCCCCCCCTTCTCCCCCCTCAACCCCAACCCCCCCTCCTCTCCAGGGATCGTTATTCCCTCAATCTTGCAGGCGTCGTTGAAAAGGTCGAAGGTGAGATCCCCATTCCCCATTTCTCCCCTCTCTCTCCCCCCCCCCCCTCTCTCTCTCTCTCTCTCTCTCTCTCTCTCTCTCTCTCTCTCTCTCTCTCTCTCTCTCTCTCTCTCTCTCTCTCTCTCTCTCTCTCTCTCTCTCTCTCCATTCGTCTCTGTATTGTGTATTCCTCAGGCCAAGAGTATTGTGTATGTGGCTGTCTTCACATTACTTCTCACCTTCCACACTCACTCTCAACATTGTTCCTGATGTCTTGTTCACATTCTTCATCTTCCTCCTTGCTCCGTCACTCCCTTACTCTCCCTCGTTCTCTCCTCCCCCCCCCCCCCCTCACTGACTCTTGCAAAGATATTGTCTCACAATGAAATGGTTCTCTTGATCCATGAGAAATGTTGAGATGTTCACAATGTTCTCTTGATCTATGTTTATTATTAACCAACATCCACATTAAAGACAGAACCTGACGCCATCTATTGGCTAAGAGCTTTCATTCACTCATGGGAAGGGAACTATCACGAGAAAGCGCCAAGCCATTACGACTATATAGCACTGGGAAGGGGTCAGGATAAGGCTTTGGGATGGGACGGTGGGAGGGAAGGAATGGTGCCCATCCACTTATAGACGGTCGGGGATTGAACACCGACCTGCATGGAACATAAAGTTGGATTTACAGATAAGAGTTAGTACATACCATACCTAAAGCCATTAATAAGCATAGCGTTTCGGGCAATAGACCTTTAACCGTTATCAATAACTACAGGACTTGATCTAAACCACTGAAAGGCCAATGGAAAAAAAAAGACCACAGCTGGACCCCGCTAATACTGACCTTTCGCGGCAATTAGTAACTCGGCTCCTAAATTGTTGAGGTCATTAGTTTTAAACTGTTAGAGGGGGGAGGGCTGGGGGGGGAGGGGGGAGGGAGGGGGGGAGGGCTGGGGGGGGGGGGGGGGAGGAGGGGGGGTAGTCGCAGTTACCTCGCCAAGTCTTGGGGTCATGAAGCTGCTGTCTCAGTCATCTATGGCTCAAATATTGACCCGTTACCACAGGTATTGACCAGTTATCTTGAGGCTATCTTGAGATGATTTCTGGGCTTAGCGTCCCCGCGGCCCGGTCCTCGACCAGGCCTCCATTTTGTTACACAACCCCAGGAAGCAGCCCGTACCAGCTGTCTAACTCCCAGGTACCTATTTACTGCTAGGAAACAGGGGGCATCGGGGGTGAAAGAAACATTTTTGCCTAATTTGTCTCCGCCTGCACCGGGGATCGAACCCGGAACTTCAGGACTACCAATCCGAAGCGCTGTCCACTCAGCTGTGATCACAGGAAGGGTCAAGGGTCAACCCCCTCGTTCCAGTACGTTCTACAGGAGTGCAGTTAGCGATGCAGTGGGTTAATAAGTCTATCCCTGAAACAAAGACTGTTTCATCTACCCCTTAAAGTTCTTCTCCTATCCCCCTACTTGACCAATAGCCACTCTGAACTATCCTTCCTTTGTTTTCCCTATCCTTATCCAATATCAGCTTCAGGACGGGACTCGATTGGAGAACGCGCTACAATAGATCTATAACAATTACCGCGTTTACTGACTAGCCAGAACGCCAGGATAGACCAGGAGAACGCCAGGATAGACCAGGAGAACACCAGGATAGACCAGGAGAACACCAGGACAGACCAGGAGAACACCAGGATAGACCAGGAGAACACCAGGATAGACCAGGAGAACACCAGGATAGACCAGGAGAACACCAGGATAGACCAGGAGAACACCAGGATAGACCAGGAGAACACCAGGATAGACCAGG